GTGCACCTGTCTGGACCTTGAACTTGCAAACAGCAGGGCAGCCTCCAAGCCTCAGTTCTGTTAGGGCTTGCAGCAGCTCACGGGCGCCACCTAGCGCCAAGCTGGTGGTGGCGCCGGAAAAACTCAGCGCTTTCCATCTGCCAGCCCCCCCCCCAAAAAAAAAAAAAAAAGCAAAGAAGGGGAGTGCAGAAACGATAGGTTTTCAGTGCACGGAAAGCCCGGGTAAAGGGAGGGCATGGAGATGATGAGGCAAACAAGCTTAGGAACAGCCTGGGACCCCTTCTCTTTTGACATATATATACCCTTGAATTCATGTGTTCTTGCAACATCCGGTTATTGAGATTTTAAAATCCTGCTTCTTTTCTCTTTCCTTCTTCAGGAGCCTCGTTACTTTGAGTGAAGTAGTCGTTGCTGGATTACCTAGATTGCAGTGTTTTGTTTGCACGATGCAGCTCTTGAATGGGGGCAGTGGCGTGTTTCTGAGATAGCTCCACCGCCATAGTTGTGCATGCCATATGCCTGTCTTTCTTCTTAAATTTTAATCTCCCCCTTTTCCTGGAGCTTCAGTTGACATATTGGCACTGCCTTAGCTCTATCTAGGTGTATGTGTGATGATTTAACACACGTAAAGATTGCAACGCGATCTCCACAGTAAGTCTAGTTAACAACCCCCCACCTCACAAAGTTACAACTTTTTCCGTGTGATGCCCACCTTTAGAATCCACTCTCCCGGCACCTCTCCACTAGGCGAGACCGAGTTGCATGTCACCACCTCCCAGGACTTGTCAGTTCTCTGACTGGACGTCTCATTTCTGGCAACCACCTGGCTGGCCTGTGCCTATGGGTTCCATGCCCTTTTCAAACAACTGACCGATGAAGGAAAAAGAAACCTGGAAAAAAGAAACAAGGGTTTTGCTCTTCTTTGCTTGAGGGTTGGTGCCCGTATTTTTTCCCGATTAAAAAAAATCCTTTTACTTTGAAATAATTAAACTCACAAGGAGTCACAGAAAAAGCACATCAGTCTGAGTTTGCTTCGTCCCGATCGCTCCGAGGGTGACATCTTATGGGGTTATAGTACAATGTCCCGACCAGCACCATGACCCTGGTACATGACTGTGAACTAGAGTACAGAAGGGACTCAGTTTCCACCACGTGTAGCTACAGTGTAGACTTGGGAATCTGCCATGGCAATCAAGACACAGAATCGCCTCTTCCCCAGGAAAGAACTCCCCCCTGCACCCCCCCACCCCTACCTCTTTCATTCTTGCCCCTCCCCTCACCCCTACTCACCTCCTCTCCATCTGGGTAGTTTTCTCCTGCCGAGGTGCCGTCTGAATGAAATCATATTGGTTGCAACATTTTTTTTCTTTCCTTCACTAAGCACAATGCTCAGCGAGGCCCATCCAGCTCCTTCTCTGTATTAGCTCATTCCTTTTTACCGCCGACCAGCGTTCTGTGGTGCCAGAGTTTGCTCCGCGGTTCCTCCACCGAGGGCCACCTGGGTCGTGTCCAGTCGGCTCTGATGGCTAATCTGCTGTGACCCGCAGAGTGCAGGCTTTTGTGACGTGAACACAGGAGTTTGTTTCTCTGGGCCAGACGCCCCCGAGCACGATTGCGGGTCCAGTGGGAACTGTGGGTTTAGTTTTATCCATTTATCTAAAATAGAAACCAGAAACTGCAGATTAGGGGAGGTGGGTCTGGAACCGGCCCCAGGACAGAGGACCGTGCAACGCAGCGGAGCAGTCCCTTCTCTCACCTGTGGTGACAAACAGCAGACGTCGCGCCCTGACTTGGAGAGCAGTTGAAGAGGAGAGATTAGAAAGACAATGAACACACGTGTTTGAGAAACTGCCTGCAGCTGGCCAGGAGTTTAGGATTAGTCCTTGACCAATTTCCAGTTGAGAAAAATGTTCAACTGATCGTGTCTTAGCAGAAATGATGTTTATTCCCATGGTAACTCAAGGTTGAGTGTGTGATTGCTGCAGTTTGCGTAAGTGTGAATTGAATTAAAATGATGTATCATGGCGATGGGCATGTTGATTGAATATTTATTTTCTTTTAGCAGCCTGCACCTGGGGAGCGGCTGCTGCCCTTTGTGGGTGATTACTTATTTATTTATTTATCTATTTTTTTTTAGAGGGAGGAGAAGGGAGAAGGGGGAGGGAGAGAGAGAAACATCAATGCGTGGTTGCTTCTCATGCACTCCCCCACTGGGGACCTGGCCCACAATCCAGGCATGTGCCCTGGCTGGGAATCAACCAGCCACCTTTGGGTTCTCAGGCCATAGCTCAATCCACTGAGCCACACCAGCCAGGGCCCACAGGGAAGGTTTAAGGTTGGGGAATGGCAACGGAGGCTCCATCCACAGGGCAACCTGGAGGGTCAGGCAAAGGCCACTGGCACAGTCTCGATGCCCCAGCTCAGAGCCCCAGGAAGTCGGGGTTGACACCCCTCCAGCAGGGACCCTCCAGCTGTAGAGATTTTGTCTTTTCTGGGCTGCCTTCAGGCCCTGAGAGAGCTGGCAGGCTGTCATTAAGAAGTTCCGGTCCTTGGCTGGCTGCGAGGGCCATACCATCCCAGTATGGCTGGACTTGGGGGTTCTCGGGGGGCACAAAGGATCGGTCAGACTGCTTGTGAGGATTCCAGGGTGTCGCTGTCTTGGGTCAGGGTCTGGGCTGGGGTGGGACACCTGCTGGTCTTTCTCCCTCTTGAGGGGGCCTGACCACAGAGCCACCTTCCTGGCCTGGGATGCTGTGTGCTTGAGAATGCTGGGGTCACCCTCGGCTCCAGCTCAGCCCAGACTCCCTGTCTCTGCAACAAGGTGACCGCCTGAGGACAGCACCCTCAGGCCGCACAGCTCTGTCTCTCAGGCCTGTCTTCCCGCCGTGACCATGGACGTCTGGGGACGGGGACTCCATCTTCCTCGTCTCTGTACTCCTTTGAACTTTGGGTTTGCATCATGCTTAGAGTGAGGAGGAGATGTGACAGAAGTGATGGAAAGTAGATGCCGGGGACAAGAAGGGAAGGAGGTCGCAAAGTTGCTGCCTGCAAGGACCGGGGGACCCAGAGCTCATGAGAGGGAGAAGTGAACTCTCTGGGGTTCTTGGGGCTGCTTTTACGGGGTGAAGGGGGAGGCTCAGGTTCTCCTGGTATCTAGTGGTGGGAGGTGGGGGTGGAGATGGTGCTGTTGTAGCCCAGGGAATGATCAAAGTCCTGATTAGGGCCAAGGAACAAAACCCGGGACAGGGTTGGGGGAGGGTAGGGTATGAGCAGTAGATCTCATCTGCAATTGGCATATCCTAAGCTGTCGGTCACTTAGGCACTCAACAAGCACTGCTCTGGTCCTGGCCAGGTAGCTCAGTGGGTTAGAGCGTCGCCCCCGCTACAGCAAGGTTGTGGGTTCAGTGCCTGGTCAGAGCACATGCAAGAATCTACCAGTGAATGCATCAGTTAGTGGAACAACAAGTCTCTCTCTCTCAAATCAATAATTTAAAAAAAGCACTGCTGCCCTGGCTGGTGTGGCTCAGTGGGTTGAGTGCCAGCCTGAGAACCCAAAGGCCCCTGGTTCCATTCCCAGTCGGGACACATGCCTGGGTTGTGGGCCAGGTCCCCAGTAGGGGGCACCTGAGAGGCAACCACACATCCATGTTTCTCTCCCTCTCTCCCTCCCTTTCTCTATCTAAAAATAAATAAACACAATCTTTAAACAAGCACTGCAGAGTGCCCACTGAAAGCAGTGCACAGACACTGCGACACAGCGTGAGGATAGTAGGAGGCGGGGCCTTTGGGAGGAGCTTAGCCATGAGGGCGGAGCCTCCAAGTGAGGATCCGAGTTCTTAGAGACTCGGGACAGATCACTCCCTTCTTCCAACAGGTGAGCACAGACGGAAGTCAGACGTCTGTCAGCCCGGAGAGGGCGCTCATGTGACTCTGCTGGTGCCCTGATCTTGGACTCCCAGCCTTGGGAACTTATAAACTCTCATTTATAAGGCCCCTCCTCTGTGGTATTTTGTTATAGCTGCTTGAAAGGACTAGGGCGAGAGGGAGTCAATTTTATCAGTGTCTTGTGTATCTTTTAAGGGTTTAAAAAATTTATGTATTGATTTGTAGAGAGAGGGGAAGGGAAGGAAAAAGAGAGGGAGAGAAACATCCACGTGAGAGACAAACATTGATCAGTTGCTTCTCATATGTGCCCTGAGCAGGGATCAAACCTGCAACCTAGGCATGCGCCCTGACCAGGAATCGAACCTGTGACGTTTTGGTTTGTGGGATGATGCCCAACCTACTGAGCCCCACTGGTCGGGGCTCTAGGGCTTTCATAAATCAATATAAATACGTGCATAGATGCGTACTTCTAAATAAACACACCCTTCTCTCTTACAGAAAAGCCAGCATGGCGTATCTATTATTCTCTGCCTATCTTCTTTTCTTCCTTTTTTCCTCCCCCGGTTGGCGCAGAGAACGTCCTCATCCACGCGCTCCTTTCGCGACCCCCTCACCCTGCTCCGTGTGAACAAGCAGCTTATTCAGAGCTGCGCACGCTCTCCCGTCGGTGGGCGTTCCCGTTGTTCCCGGACTTCGCAGTTACAAACTACTGCGTGTCGCCGCGCATGCGTGGTTTTCTGTGTCTGCTGGCTGACCCCCGGGATACACCTCTTGCCTTGGGGTCAGGGCGTCCGAGGAGAATGGTGCTGGCCGTCGTTCTCCAGCTGCCCGCCGGCTCTCAGCAGGGCTGCCCTCCTCTGCCCGCCCGTCAGCGATGTAGGGGAGTCCTCCCATCCCCCCCCCCACTACAGGCTCCCGGGAGGGAGCTGACTTCCCAGAGCAATCTGAGTGGCACATCCAGTTTGCAGGGCGTGTCACGCACCCCACGGATGGAGCCTCCTCTCGGTGGAGTAGACCACAGTGATTGAAGGCCAAGGCCCTGTGTGTCTGGCCCACCGTGTCCCCCTTCCCCACACACGCAAGAAGCAGAACTCGGAGCTGAGCACTGAGGGGTTTATTATTTCTGGGTGGGCTGGGGGCTCAGGCTTCTAGTTAGGAGTTAGTTTGGGGCGGGGCACCCTTCACACAGGCACGTAGGTCCCGTTGTAGCTAAAGGGGGGACCTGTGAAGCAGTCCCCGCCCCTCTCAGGGATCCATCGCTGGATATAGTTGGAACCGTTGTCCCCAGGCCACACCATCACGGTGTCTTTGGAGGCCACGGACGGGTCTTCTGAGAAGAAGTTGAAGGGACGGATCAGGAAGCCCACGGAATTTCCTGGGGTGGCCGTATTGGGGATGTCCTCTGAGTGGGGGATGTGCAGGAAGCCCACTGTCGCCCAGGCCACCAAATCCTGCGGGAGAGAGGAGTAGGTCATGTTGAGGAAGCTCAGAGAGGAGAGGGGTGGGCGGTCCCCGAAAGCCCCCTTTGTAGGGAGGGGGCAGGTCCAGCAGGGGGCGCAGATGTGGTCCTGGGCTGGGGCTGGGAAAAGGCGGCGCCGGTACCTCTTCCTCAATGTTCTCGTTGTTGCGAAGAAACTCCTCAAAGACCACAGGCGGGTCCCAGGGGTCGTTCTGGTTATAGATGCTGCTGCTGTACAGTTCTGACTCCCGGTACTTGGTCACTGCCAGTGGGTACCTGTGGGTGGAGAAGGCGGGCAGTTCCAGGCACTGGGAGCTTCCCGGCCTCTCCCAGGGTCAGTGATGTGTCTCTCCCCCAATTTCGAGATTATCTCCTGGGAGTCAGCCAGACTGGCCGAGGGTCACCTGCGGCTCAGGTGCAGAGAAAGGGCCCTCCACACCCCCTCCCCAAACAGAGCCACACCTGGAAACACACATGCATGCATGCACACACATGTAGACACGCTGTTACGCAGACTCAGCCCTCCCCAGACTCCTGAGCCTCCAGCCCTCCCCAGGCTCCTGAGCTTCCTCACCTGGCCCAGGTGACACCCCGCTCCACCTTGGAGCCAGGGGGCAGCACCTGGTGGGCCATGGAGTTGAGCTGCAGCCGGTAGCTGCGCTTGTGGCCCCAGCGGTTCTCCTCGGCGCTGGAGAAGAGCAGGTACTTGGGCAGAGTCTGTCCGAAGCGGAAGGCTGCCTGGCGCTCCCGGCGGTACCTCCTCTGCTCTAGAGCCGGCACCATCAGCCAGTGTCCCGGGTTCCAGGCGCTGGTGATGTTCTCCAGCTTCATCCCCAGGGTCTGGAAGCTGTTCTTCGAGCCTGCAGGTGTGCAGGGAGATGCAGAATGAGGGTCCAGCACCCCAAGATGACACATCCCCATTCTGCACTGGGACCTCCATTCCAGGTCACATCCAGCAGCAAGCCATGAGGGATGCAGGGGGCTTGGAGGGACGTGCAGAGCTAGCTGTGGGGTGGAAGGAAGAGATTAAAAACAAACAAACAAAAAAATCCAGGGGAACCAGAAGACAGCTTCCCTCGATGGGTCACGGCAGCTGCAGCGGTTCTGGTGTGAGTCTGGGCTGTTCCTTTTGAGACTGGTGTCCCCAGCCTGAGGGCTGCGCTGCAGTCCGAAAGGAGGGGCGGCCCATCTTTCCCAAGTGGGGACTGTGTCTACTGCCCTCTGTGCGCAGGGGGCCGAATGGGGCTGAGACAGCGGGGGAGGGTAGGGGCAGGAAGGGAAGCCACCTCTTTGGTCCCGGGGGCATGCTGTGACATGTGACTGCGTGCCAGGCCAAAGCCTGTCCCGATGCCTGTGTCATGGTGACACGGTTATCTAGGAGACACGGCAAGTGTTCTCGATGACACTGCATTCATCTCAGCGTGCCAGGCAGCAGTGACATGGGTTACATCCTGAGACATTATCCTCTCCGCTACCCTGAGCATACCTTTCCACCCAACCCCTCATCTAGGGGGGTCCACAGGGCCCCAGAGCCAGGACAGGGGCCACGGTGCTGTATCCAAGGCAACACCAGGATGCTGTTCACCTGCACTATTTTTCAGGGGCACTCAGCTTGCAGCCCTGCAGGTTTCACACGCAGGTCGGGCACGTTCCCCTGACAGTTTGCCTTCAGGGGGAGTGCCATCATCTGCCACGGGTGGGAGCTAGCGTCTGGATGGGGATGTGAGGTGGGGCCCGAGCCTTACCTGCCACGTCCAGGTCGATGCGGTAGTGAGCCAAGTGAGTGTGTATGTTGCCGAGCAGGTGCGTGTGCACGCGGGCGCCATGGCGCAGCCCCTCGGGGGTGTAGAAGGTGGCGTGGATGTAGCCAGAGGCGTGCATCTTGGCCTCCATCACCCCGTTGGGGTAGAAGATGAAGTCCCAGATGTAGTCGTAGTTGTAGACGGTGGAAGTCGTCCGCAGCACCAGCACCTGGCCCTCGAGCCCCGAGTAGAAGTGGAAGCCACCTTTGAAGTTGGAGTCGAAGTGACGCCGGAGGGGCACCCCTGTGGGCATCTCGAAGAGACAGAGGGCGCGGGGGTAGTGGACGGGGGCGTCGGCATCGTAGTAGTGGAAGGCGTCTAGGAAGGTGGCGGAGGCTGGGCAGTCAATGCCGGGGGCCAGTTCGTGGGTGACGGAGCCCAAGCCCCAGCCCACGTCCAAGTACTGGGTCTGCATGCCCGAGGGTGTGTGGCCTCCGTACAGCGACACGGCCTCCTGTACGCTCACTTCGTAGGCCACGCGTTCCCCCTGGAAGAGCACGTTCAGGACCTGCAGCCCCGTGGAGGACCGCAGCCTGAAGGCGAAGCTCCACCCCCCGTAGAGCACGGAGTTGCCCTCCAGTCTGTAGCGGGGGCCTTCCGGGTTGACCACGCGGGGGCTCTGCGTGGTGATGGGGTTGGTGAACTCCCCGCGAGGCTTGTAGGAGGAGAAGAGGGGCGGCTGCTCCTTGCCCTCTGCCCCCTCGTCCTTGGGAAGCAGGTTCTCCAGGACCACAACGTCCACCTCCCCGTCCGCGTACTTCTGGGCCAGTTCCTCTGGGCTGCTGTAGAACTGCCCGTTGTACCAGACCTGTTCCACCGTCCAGTCCTGGGGGTTCATGCTTTTGTGGTCTATGAGGAGCTCCAGCCCAGTGGGGTGCAAGAAGAAGCCTTCCACGAAGAGCTGTAAGATGAACCAGGAGCGGCGCTGGCCTGAGGCAAAGCCCCGCGGGGCCACGTCTGTGAAAGTCAGGCAGCGGGTCTGGCAGTTGAGGAAGGTGAAGCCTGTGGTGTTAAGGAAAAACTGGTGCAGGGGCTTGGTGACCTCCTTCAGGGTCTGGCTCATGAGGGTGCTCTCCACGGAGGTCACGGGCCTGGAGGCCCAGGAGGCCCGGAGCCCAGGCCCTCGGGACAGCTCACGCAGGTAGTACGGCTGTGGCAGGGGTCCCACGGCAAACTCGGTGATGTTGGGATGCTCCTGGGCTCCGAAGAAGATGATGGCTCGTGCCTCCCGCACAGGAGGCCTAAGGCCCTTGTCCAGAAATTTCAGCACTTTCTGCTTCTTGGGCAGCAGCATCTCGATGAGGAACACGGAGTTCTTGGCGATGGTTGGTGTTCTGGAGGGCTTCAGCCTCAGCTCCTGCCGGGACCAGAGGAAGTCACGCACGGCCTTCAGCTCTTGGGCACTCAGGTCCGCAAACACCTTGTTGGCCTGGCTGCGTGGGGTGTTTGGGGCGGGCTTCACCGAGGCCAACGCCTGCAACATCAGGACGGCGGCCGCCACCACACCGAGGGCCAGCGTCTCTCGCCTCATGGCTCTAGAATGCAGAGGAGATGAACTGCATTGGTTTATGGGAGGACGTGGGCTCCACCAGGCTGGGCCGGGGACCGCGATGCCCTCTGGCCCTGTAGTCTCCCTACAGACACGGCCCCCTTCCCACCCCAGCTGGGGCCCCTCCTGTGCTCTCCATCGATTCTGATTCTAAGCACCTCTCACTTGTCTGTGAGCCCTGATTAGGTCTGCGGGTTTCCTTTCCTACAACAGCTCCTCGTCTGTGTGTATCTCGGCCTGGCCGCACCTCCAGCTTGAACTGGCTCAGCCAGGGCCTGTGGGACTCAGGGCACTCCCTCCGAATGAGAGCTTCTGGTGCCCTGGGGCTGGATGAGAAAGGGGTGCTGTGGTACCTCATAAATGCCTCCCGGGGCAGGCCATGAGGGTGTTCACGGCCTGGGACTACGACTTCTTTAGTGAAAGGTGTTTAAGCCAGCCCTGCCCATTGTCCTCATCCAGTCAGGCGAACGCACCTTTGAAAAGCAAGAGTGATCCTCTTTTTCGGCACCTCGGAGGCGTGACCAGCCTCAAGAGAGCACACCATCTCGTTCGTTGACCCCACCCTCGCTTTCTCGCATCTTTGTGTGATCCTCCTTAACTCCAAGTGTCTAACTGAAAGCACAAATGGCCATTCTCGGAAGCCTTTGAGATCCTGCTTCCTGTCACTTGTCATTGGCTTGGGCTCAAATAAATGCCTATAAAAATCACCTACAGGTTGGGATGTGTCTCAGTTCGAGATGGGTATCCATGTAAATAAAGTCTGAAATGTAGGCCCTGGCTGGTGTGGCTCAGTGGATTGAGCGCCAGCTTGTGAACCAAAGGGTCACTGGTTCGATTCCCAGTCAGGGCACATGCTTGGGTTGTGGGCCAGATCTCCAGTAGGGGGTGCACGAAAGGCAACTACACGTTGATGTTTCTCTCCTTCTCTTTCTCCCTCCTTTCCCCTCTCTCTAAAAATAAATACGTAAAAACCTTTAAAAACATTGCGATGTAGTATAGAAGTTCAAAGAGTGGGCTGTGCAGGCAGACTGCCTGGGTTCAAGTGCTCGTATGTCCCGCTCCTAGGTCCAGTGTGCAACCTTGGCTGGGTCGCTTAAACTCTGTGGGCCTCCATTTTCTCAATCGGATGACGGAAACAAAAACCACGGTGCCTACCTTCCATGGTGGTTGCGAGAAATCAATTGGATGGTGGGAAGACGTGCTCAGAACCTGCTTCCCTTCTTGGAAGTGCTCAAGAATCCCCAGCTACTCTCCTTTTTAAAGCCCACCCTGAGGAGACCCTGGGTGATACCAGAAGACTTAAAATGTAAGCAATATCGACGGACTTCACCGAGGGTAGGTTGTAAGCCTGGGCTCTGAGGGTCAGGACCCAGGGGCCAGTCCTGTCCCGACCGCTTTGCCCCTCTGGTAGGGTGCTCAGATGGTGGCTGCCTTGACCCTCCGAGGCTCCTAGGAGGGCACCTCAGGATGGGGCCATCCCAGGCGGTGATACAGGGAGATGCCTTTTCAACCCTTCCACTTTGGGGGCAGGTGTGGTCAGGGTCTTCACTTCATAGCCCGTCCCCCAGAACAGCCAGGGACTCACCTGATTGGCGCTGTCCAGCCTGCACTGACCGGCGAGACACGGGGGCGTCGGGAGAAGAAGGGTATGGGCTGAGCTCTTGTTTTACTATTCAGTTGTGGTTTAGCCTCCCTTTTGCTTTACTTTTAAACAGACTTGACTTTTTAGAGCACTTTTAGGTTCGCCACAAAACTAGGCAGAAGGGAGAGAGCTCCCCCATCTGTCCCTCTGCCCCCCACGCCCAGCTTCCCTACTACTAATACCCCCCACCAGAGCGGTGCACTGGTTACCTGTGACCTCCAGGGGCACATCATCGTCACCCAAGGTCCACAGTTTACCTGAGAGGTCACTCATGCTGTCGTGCCTTCTCTGGGCTTGGAAAGATGTATGGTGACCAGTACTCACCACGACAGTCTCGCTGCGGCCCTGACAGTCCTCTAGGCTCAGCTGTTTGTCTGGTCCCACCCCTACCCCCCCTCCCTAGGGGTGGGGGTCTGCGTACACGGCCCTTTCCAGCTGGCTCAGTGCAGTCTGCTGCCTTTTCAGACGGGCTCCTCTCGGTCAGGGGTACCCATGTAAGCTCTTCCACTGTGGGGAGCCGACCAGCAGCCATCCCTTGACACAGTCGGGATGGATGAGATGCATCTGCACAGCAGGGGCAACTGTGGCTGGACTTCCTGTCTATCTCTCCTTGCATGTCTGTCTTTGCAGTTAATAGGTGGTGGGATTTTTAGATGCCCGCATTTCAGGTGCAATGATCCACAGAATTCCAATGAGGTTGTACAAAATGATTTCTTGGCCAGAGAACAAAAGTCCCCCCTGATGGGGTAGCCTCTGAACATCTAAAAGTTGATGGAGTAACAGCCCCTCCTCTACCTTGGACAGGAATATATATTAGTGGAATTAGACAGGTAAAGAGGCAGGAGAAGCTGGTTAACTATTACAAACCAAGCACATAGAAACAATTGCTAAGGAGTTAGAGTCCTCAGTACATAAAGCAACATTTTAGACAGAAAGATAGATAGTTAAGTTAGACACCACAAAGGCCTTGTAATAAATTTCCTCTAACCACTGTTCAGTCTAGCGTGTCCTTTTGACCCATGCCAAATTCTAAGAACTTTAATGAACATCTGTTCATCAACAAGACATTTAAAACTCTGTACATACAGCTATTTCTAATTGTCTGATTAATGGTTCTTCTGCTCAAAATAACCTTTGTTTAACATAACTGAATCTATGGAACTTCCTGTACTTTTCCTAGTTACCTCTGTATTGTTTTTTTTTTTCTGCTTAACTCATCACACCATGCCCCTGTTCCTTTAATGTTTTGTAACAATCTCTATAAAAATAAAGCTTACATCAGACTCTGCAAGTTCGGTCAGACCCTCAGAGGCTGGCTGTTCTCCGGGATCCGGTCGGGTGTCTGACTCATCATTTGTCGCCTGTGCGGTCCATCCTTCGGGGACCCCGAGACCTGCTGAGGCTGGACCCCGGCACTCTATGCTTTTCCCCAACTGTCTTTCTGCTCTGGAGAGGAGGGAGAGGACCTGCCTATTCCTTTAAGCTTATCTTCCCCAGGACAGAGCGATGTTCAGGGTCCAAGTGGGCAGCTGGGGTGTGAACTATGGCACTGCAGTTACAGGGGTGGAGGGGGGACGGGAGGGGGGGAGGGACCTTAGCGGCAGGTCTGCCCATCCACCTCCTTCCTGCTTTTTCCATCCTGCCCCTAAGCGGTTGCTTGTGCTCTCTGGCCGCTGCCCCCCCCCGCCCCCGTCTTGTGTGTTCGTTTCTCCTGGCCCCTTATTCCTCAGGCCCTTCCCCCCCCCGCCCCCGTCATCTCCTCCACTCCCCCAATGTCCCATTCACAATATACCTGTGTGTTCCGCTTGCTCCGCTCACCTTGCCTCTGCTATAAGTCTTCACCTTGGCCTCTTCCCGAGTTTTATGGCTCTCTGGACCCTGCCCTGTAGGGGCAGGGTGAGGGCTGGGCCAAGCAAGGTGGGGACCCACGTAGGGCTCTGGGGGCTCAGGGGCCTCCACAGTAGCCAGGGGCGCCGGCTTCTGTGGCCCCTACATGAGCCCAAGTTGGGAAATGCCCCAGTCCTCCCCCCCTTCAGTAGCAGGGTGCACGTCTGTTTGCCCCAACAATACACCAGTCCTAGGTGTGTTTCCATCGTTCCACAAGCATTGGGATGCCCTAATCTGTTAAAATAAACATTGAGCTTCAGAGGCCGGAGATAAGGGCAAGGGAAAGTTGCTAACAAGCAGTCCCAGCTGACAAGGACACACAGACAAAGGCAGAGGCTGGTAGAGGTGGACACTCACATCGAAAGCAGGGCATTTGTCCATTTCGTTTTGGTTTTTGAGTGGGTGTGGCTGTGTGCCAATAAAACCTCCTTTACAGATGTGGAAGTGCGAATTTCATATCATTTTCATGCGTCACAAAATTTTCTTCTCCTTTTGATTTTTTTCTTCACTGTTTTAAAACACAAAAACCATTCTTACCTCGTGGGCTGCATCCACACAGGCGGCGTGCTGGGTCTGACCTCTGACCTGCAGGCCGAAGTTTAAGGGCAACCGCTCTCGTTCCCACCCTGCCTCTGCTACCGATCAGCTCGGTGAAGAGCCGGGTATGTGACCCACGTGGGGAATGGGGGGCCAGAGACAGAGAAGTCTGGGCAGTATGAAGCCACCGAGCTGGGACTCTAGGAGGGGTCTTCTTAGTGTCTCTGTGGCCCTGGCAGAATTCGGAAAGGGAAGAGGAAGTGGCTGGGGAGAACGTCCTCAGGATGGCTCTGCTAAGGAGAGGGGAGAAGGGCCGGGAAGGTTGGGGAGTGGGGGAGGCACCTGTGCAGGGAGGGGAGTTGGAACTAGTCGGCTTAGTCTGAGGACAGAAGCCAGAGTTTGGGCAAGGGAGGGAGATAGTAAAATCAGGATTATTCTTTTGTTATTTTTCATCCTTAACCTCCTTCTCCTTGCCCTGCAAGTGATGTTGGTGTTTATCGGCAGCTGGGTGAAGAGGGGACAAATGAGTGAGTCGATCTGATACTTGTCGGCAGTCCCAGAGGCCTGTTGGGGTCTCCAGGGAAGGCGGTTGGCTTTAAATGCACGAAGGACTCCACCTGTGTCTGTCACCCTCAGCCATGGGGTCACCACCCTGCGGAGACTTGAGGAGGCTTGGGTCCCAGGAGACTTCTAGGGACACCTTGACATTGAGAAATGCCATTTGTTTCTGTCCCACCGAGGATCCTGTCACCGACTTAACGGCGTGAGGACAGACTGGGTGAGGATACTTGTGAAGATGGAAAGAAAAGGGGGCCACACGCCATGACGTTTGACCCTTAGCTCACACCAACACAAGAATGACCTCAAAGGAGATCAAAGACCTAAATGTAAGAGGCAAAATGATAAGCTCTTAGAGAAAACAGAGGAGTACATTTAAAAAAAATCCTCTCTCAAGAACGTGCTTATTAATTTTGGAGAGAGAGGAAGTGGATAGGGGCAACATCAGTGTGAGAGAGAAACATCGATCAGTTGCAATAGTGCAGGCGCCATGACCTTCAGGAACCAGAAGAGCAAACCCCGCACGGCCAGGGCTCTGTCTCCCTGTGCTAGACTCCCAGGGCTGCCCTAACAGAGACCCCCAACCGTGGGGTGGGTGTGGGGGTGGGGGACGGAGCTTCAAACCACTGAAATGGATTCTCGAACACTTCTGGAGGCTGGAAGTCGGACATCGAGGCGTCTGCATGGCTGTGCCCCTCTAAGGACACCAGTGTGGGTGCTCCCTCCTTTCAGCTGCTGGTGTTGCCGGCAATCCTGGGCGCCTGTGGGTTCCTCGGCTTGTAAATGTGCCACTCTAGCCTCTGCCCAATTGTCACATGGCCGTCTTCCCTGTCTGTACTTCTGTGTGGTGGACTCGGGCCAGCAGAGTCCGCCTGTTGTGGCCAGTGATGAGAATGAATGCACAGGCGACAACAATCCTGTGTGGAAAAAGAAAACAGCACGGCTACTCTCTCAAGGGGAGGGTGCCTATGGTGCCTCGGCCACTCCCTCAAGAGGAGAGCGCCCCGACCCTTGCCTAGACAGGCTTTTATTGTTTTACTCGGGTCTTACATCAGAGAAAGATTTATTATCTATCACATAAAATATTATTGTCTACCTTTTAGGTGCAATCAAGAAAATGAAAATAACATGCAGAGGGGAATGGTGATGAGCTGATTAGCTCTGTCCTTGGGAGAGCTCACATAGGCTTTGGAAATTACCTTGAAGGTAGACAATACACATTTGTTGTTTTAGACCAGGGTAATGGAGTTTTAGCAAGAGCAAGCCATAACAGTCTGTATGCATTTTCTCGGCCTGATTCCCACGGGAAAACTCGGTTTGAAGGTCTGGCTCCTGCCCACCGCTTTGCTTCTGTAGGTTTTCCATACAGAGCTGAGTCACATTGGCCAGACCAAAACAAGCTGGTCCCCTATACTTCTGTCCCCTTATCTTCATAACAATAGTTGGATCAGGGCCCACTCTACTCAGATATGAATTCGTCTTAGCTAATTATATCTTCAATGACCCAACCTCCAAAACAGGGTGCATTCTGGGGTTGTGCCTGACGTGGGGTTGGGGAGGGAACTGAGCAGTGATTTCTGGAGCTTGGGACTGTTAACCTGCCACCAGCTCTTTTTCTCCACTCTCCAAGCTCAGGTCTGCAAGCTGGTCTCTGGCTTTGAAGCTGACCTTGATTTCGGAGGTGTGATTTCTCTCTTTGTGGGGTTAATGATTGGTGGCTGTTACTGAGAGCACTTGGGCAAAGACTGCGCCCTTTAACTTCCGGGCTGCCTGCCTTTCTTAAAGGAGCAGAACCGGAGGCCTTGGGGGTGAAGATGTTGAAGGTCACGGGTAGGACGCCCAGTCTGGGGGAGGGGCAGTGTCACCTGTGAAGATCAACTCGGTGTCTGGGCTCCCTGTCCAGAGATCACAGCCCACAGCTTCCCTACTGCTGGACTTTGATACTTCACTGTCATGAGGTCGCCATACATCAGAGACCATGGGGGTAATCTAGAAAGTGGGATTGTTTTCATGGAAGCACGGGAAGATTCCCACGGGGCTTGGGGATGGGCCAGAGAAGTCCCTTGAGTCAATCTCCAGGCTAAAGAAGTCAGGATCCCACCCCCCCGACTGGGAATCTAACCGGTGACCTCTTGGCTTACACCCCAGCGCTCAGTCCACTGAGCCACACCAACTAGGGCCATTTCTCAGTTTTTAAACTTTAAACTTTAGAAAGATTGTCAAATATACTTAACTAAAAGCTTATAATATGAACTTTTAGAAAACACTTTTCTTGGAAATAACCCTAAAAGACGTTAATTAAAACTAGCACAGGGTCCTGTTTAATTTATATTAGTATTTAATTTCTTTTTAAAAATAATATTTTATTTTATTTATTTATTTTTAGAAAGAGGGGAAGAGAGGGAGAGAAACATCAATGTGTGGTTGCCTCTCACATGCCCCCAACTGGAGACCTGGCCTATAATCCAGGCATGTACCCTGACTGGGAATTGAACCAGCGACGCTTGGGTTCATAGGCTGGCACTCAATCCACTGAGCCACACCAGCCAGGGCAGTATTTAATTTCCTTAGAGCACTAAAATATTACATTGTACTCATGCCATTGGGAGGCAGAAAATGCACCACATGTAACACACGGACAAATGCATATCCCACACAGACCACACACATGAAGACTGAACATACAAAGACCATACATGTAATTTGAATTACCGATTTTTGTACAGAAAGTATAAAATGTCTCTTATTTGCTTTTTGACATAAATGTCTCTTATTTGACAATTTTCAAGAAGACTGGGAAAAGGATGGAAGGTCCTAAAAACCAAGCAAGAAGACCTGTAGAGACTCTCAATAAAAGTTGTATGGACTATTGATGGGTGGTGGAAATCCTCTCAGCTCCAGGACACCCAGCAGCAGGGGAGGGCCTGGGCGGGCTGCTTTGGCCCCGGAAGGTCAGAAACCTGGCAACGAAAGATACATGCAGCAGATGGGGGACCAGGAATTAGAGTCCACACCGACTGAGAAATACAAAGAGATGGATGTTTACCCTGTGCCTGATGGTGGCCTTACCAATGACCATAACACCAGCTAGATGCCCTGGGAATGGATTTAACCCATGCAGACAGGGGACTCCATAGAAAGCCCCATTGAGAGCAGGGCAGAAAGAGAGAAAGCCTGTTTGAAAGCCCATTTGTCCTATGGATGTGTTAACCCTGTGCCCAGAGAGTGGCCTTACTAATTACCAGAGCACCAAACAAATGGGTCCCTTCGGACATCAGGGGTGATGGCTTCCTGACTCACTGGACCCTATGTCCCAGGTGTCACCTGGGGACGGTTGTGTAGGCTGGCTCCATGTCCTTACCTTCTATCTCGGCATTGACAAAATGCATCTTGATGAAGGATTTATTCCACAGCCGACAGGTAGGTTCCCCACACAGACGAGGGCAAGAGAAAGTGTAATGGAAACAACTGCAGGTGCCACCAGAGTCATCAAAGAATGTCACCAGAGAGAAATTAGGTGGAGGAAGGGGTACCAGAGCCTGAGGTTTCTTTCTTCACAAATTTAAAACATTCATAACCTTCACAAACCTTTCTGCAACTTTCACAAACTTTTTTTATCTCTTTAGAAATAACCATTTTTAGAATAACTCACTTTTAATTTCTGTCTTTCAAAATTGCATCTCCATGCCTTATACTTTCTATTATTCAAACTGTACAATTTATTTCCAACTTAATTTGAATTTAAGTTCTGAAAAACTTAATTTCCCATAATGATTAGAAGTAAGCAACAGCGATTTCTGGCCAAGATAGAGGCACAGGTAGATACACTGTGTTTACTTGCACAACCAAAATAAGAACAACAATACATTTTATAACAAAAAACAGCCAGAACTGTCAGAAAATTAAACTGCATGGAAGTCTGGCAATTTTAAAGAAGAAACATTTATCCAGACTGGTGGAAGGGCAGAGAAGGGCAGCCAGAGTGGAGAAGACTTGAGGCAAGGAGGTGGCTGGCAGACCCGGTGAGGTGGTGGCTGGTTGACCAGGTGGTCCCACACTGGC